TGACCGCCTTTTTTTTTTTTCTTCTTTCTTCTTCTTGGTCTTCTGCTGTTGACGGACTCTCTCTCTGAGATCTCAAGCCTTCTGCTTCTCCTCTGATCTTCTTGCTTCTCACATCCTTTAAAGATCAAACGAACGAGATCGATGAATAGGCCCCACGGTGGGCGCCAATTGTTTGATCCTGCTAGCTCGAGGTATGAACAATAATGATTGTTGGTTTGGGGTCGACTCACAATCTGTTCGTCTGATCTCGTCGGGAGGGAGATAACCTGTGAAAGAGCCGGGGTTGCCCCCCGGATTAAGCTCCGACGAGCAAGTCAGTGTATGTTTGTGGAGAGAGTTGAGAGAATAGATAGAGAGATGAAGTGTAGAGAGATAGTAGAAAGTGGAAAGTGAGGAGAGAGAAGAGGTCCCCTTCCTTGGTGGGTTTCATACCTTTATATACTCGTAGCGGGTTTAGAGCGTCATCCGTTGTCGATTGGACGCGGTATTACTTAGTCTCTGCGGGGAGTCTCTTAGCAACACCCCCAACAGATTACCTTCATGCCGATAATGTCGATCTTTTGATGCTTTGATCGACCTTCATAAGTCATATAGAAAAACAACTTCAACTTATTGTTATTGTAAATATCTTCAATTGTAACCAATGAATATGAATAATATTTGGTATCATAAAAGGGCAAATATCATAATGCTTTCAAAAGTAGGAAAAAGAGAGAAAAATTGAAGGGACAAGGTGGGGGGAAAGTGAGGTACAAATGAGTATATGAGTTATTTAGACATTTTTAGTAATTTGAAAATAACACAAGTCAAAGTAGCACATCAGTGTATTGAGTTTTCAAACAAATTATTATGTCCGAATAAAATATAATAAATTATTTGAGACAGAATCATTGTTTTAGAAATCCTAATGTACTGTCTGGTTCGATTGAAAATATCACGTACCGATTATAAACGATAGGTGGTTTTATCAATACAAAATCGTTGAATCACAATTAAACCAAATCATTTTTTTTATAAAACAAATTACCTCTAACTTTTCTCCATTATTTCCACTTTCCAGCACGGTTTCATAATCTGTGATCTGAATAGCCTCATGTAACCAACCAATAATGTTTTTTTTTTAAATGTGACAATAAGTACTGTGTTTCAAATTGTCAACCTGTTGGTGAGATTGATATGAGGTGGGTTCCTTCCTTGGAATGGCCCGTCGGTGGGCGCACATGTTATCACTAATGTAAGCCCTTTTTCTGTTTTGAAAAAAGATCATGAGCTGATCTGTGTCCCACAGTCGAAACCGTGTAACAGTGTTTGGTCCATTGGATTTATTATGATGATCAGTCCAACAAATATAACTTTTATTTATTGATTATTATTCCAATACAATAACAGGCCACAGCAGAAGTTCACATTGGTCACTGCTGAGCACTGCAACCGGCTTGCCTGCTCCTCGATTTATTACTGTTTTACCTCTCGTCTGTTCTTCTCTCCGTCCAAGTAAACTTGTCTTTGCTTTATTGATTCGGGATATATTACACTTTATTTATTCCATCTCCCTCCTTATATACCCAGCAAGCTAGCTGGCTAGCTTCCACTCATCCATCGCCAGGTCTCACACAAATCCTTCTCTAGATTGCTTGGTGGCTTTGGTTTTTTTGCTGCTTTGCTTTTATTCCCAGGGTTCCTGGCTTTCTCCCCTTTATTCAGTTAGTTATTCTTTCTCCCTTCCTTTCCAATACTATTTTGGGCTTCTGGGCAGCAGCAGCAACGGAAAGTTAATTAAAATGGGTGGTTCCCCGAGATCAAGCTTCTCTTCTTCTGCTTGCTTCTGGGCTTGTCTTCTAGCTGCTGCGATTCAGCTCTTGGTGACAGTAAATGGTGGAAGCATTCCCATCACCATTCTCCACTCTGCCAAAGCCAGAGGAGCTGGTTAGTTACTTCCTGATGGTTAAGACCTAAGTCGGTCGTCTCTGTTTGCTTTTTAGAACTGTACTGATCTGAAAAAATGATGTGTTCTGCAGTGTGCTTGGATGGCAGCCCGCCGGCTTACCACATGGAGAAAGGCTCTGGCTCCGGCGCCAACAACTGGTTGGTTCATATTGAGGTAACCCAACCAAAACCAGAAAGAAATGAACTTTTACTTTTTTGTAATCTACCATTTTGGAAGATTCATTTTTGTTGTTAATGGACGCTACAGGGAGGGGGATGGTGCGATGATATCGAGAGCTGTGTTTCAAGGAAGGATACATACAAAGGTTCGTCCTTGAAAATGGACAAGACTATAGGCTTCTCTGGTATTCTCGGCAGCAAGCAGGCCTCCAATCCTGGTAATATTAATTAATTAACTAATTATATCTAATTCTATCTTCCCTCTTTTTTTAATCATTTTACAGCAGATCTTGCAATCTTGTATTTGGGTTTTCCCCCTCTAATCCGAATCTTTGGTTCTGTATGCCGGAAACAGACTTCTACAACTGGAACAGAATCAAGATCAAGTACTGCGACGGCTCTTCTTTCACCGGCGACGTCGAGGCTGTTGATCCTGTAATTAACCAATTCATTCATTCATTCATTAATCCCCTGTTCCACTTTTAGAACTTCCCCTGTTTTCGACTAGTTTTGAACCTGGCTAAGAAATAGCAAGGTTAATAATAGTGACGGGGATCTATCTGATCTGGTGTTTTTTCTTTCTTTCTTTGTGCAGAAAACAGGACTTTACTTCAGGGGAGAAAGGATCTGGCGGGCTGTTATCGATGATCTGCTGGCTCAAGGCATGAAGACTGCCCAAAATGTATGCAGAAATAAAACTCCCTATCCATTTTTGCCTTTTGTCTATATCAAAACGTAAAGCCTACTGACGAGAAGATGATACTTGCTGATGATGACAGGCAATACTATCAGGTTGCTCTGCCGGCGGGCTGGCAGCAATACTGCACTGCGACAAATTCAAGGCACTCCTCCCTCCAACTGCCCGAGTCAAATGTGTCTCCGATGCCGGCTTCTTCATCCACGGGTGGGTTGTTAATTGTTTGCTCCCTCTCTCCCTCCCTCCATCAATTGCAATTTCATTTTTGCACTCTGTCTGAATCTATCCACTCTGTTTTTTTGCAGGAATGATATCACCGGCGGACGTGCCATTGAGAAATTCTTCGGCGGCGTTGTTAACACACATGTGGGTGCTTATCTACACTCTGTTTTCCCCCCCCATGACAACTCTCTTTCTGAATTTGTTACTGTGATGTCATTGTTGCCTAATTCTGTTATTTGGGGAGGTGGGTAACAGGGCTCCACCAAGAATCTGCCGGCGTCCTGTACTTCAAGAATGAGGCCCGACCTGGTAATACTTCACTCTTCTCTTCTCTATTTATTCGATCATATAACCATTCGAGTCTAGATCACTGACGTGGTTTTTCTGTTGAGGGCAGTGTTTCTTCCCACAATATGTGGCGCAGACCATGCGGACGCCACTTTTCCTCATCAACGCCGCCTACGATTCATGGCAGGTTAGTGAGTTCTCCATGATCGATCAAAATTGAAGCTTTTTTTACCAACTTGATTGAATCTTGAATGTGGACTAAATCTGATTTCAGATAAAGAATGTGCTGGCACCAACGTCGGCTGACAAGAAAGGAGCATGGAAGAGCTGCAAGCTGGACTTGAAGAAATGCTCTGATTCTCAGCTCCAGGCTGTACAGGGTATATTGAATTAAAACCCCCCTCCATTCCATGATTTTGCATTACGTCACGTGGAGTGGAGTAATGGCCCATTCATGATTTGATCGATATGTCCATTTCTGTATAATATTAGGTTTCAGGACGCAATTCTTGAGCGCCATAAACACTGGACTGGGGAATTCTTCCAAGGGTTTGTTCATAAACTCGTGCCACGCCCATTGCCAATCTGGGTCGCAGCTCACATGGGCTGGTAAAGGTCCCATCTTGGCCAACACGGTGAGTAGATAAAGCTTCCTACTTTCAAAGTTTGCCTTAAAAGGAAGGGCAAATCTGAGCATGCATTTAGTGACGATACATTTGATTTCCCAAAAAACTACATGGAGTTCATGTCACCTAAGCAAATGGGTTATTTACTAGGGTAACTAACCTAAACGTACAAGTAATTAGGTGGTGCATCAATACATGACTAATTTTTTTAAAACAAATTTGTGATGTGGATGCAGAGGATTGGGAAGGCAGTTGGAGACTGGTTCAACGAGAGAAGCTCGTTCGAGAAGATTGATTGCCCTTACCCATGCAACCCAACTTGTGTCAATATCGATTCAGAGTCCTAAGATGCTCACATCCATCATAACAACCATGTATTGCACTGAAGAGCAAAATTAATTAAATTGTATCCTACAAATAAAAATAATATAAGTAGGAGTGATGTGTGATTTTTCTCTCACTGCATGTTTTTTTCAAAGAGAAATTACGAGAGAGTGTTGAGTTGTGTATTGTAATCTGTATGATCTATTATGTATCATAAATGATAAAAAAAGAACTATGTTATCTCATGTAGAATGTTATTGTTTTTTATGTGAGGAAATTTATTATGATTTAGTTCATTCAAGAGGACATACCGAAAGTTTGAGATGCCATCAAGGAAGGGGTGGCCATTGAAGAGGACATTTAACCACCCTAAGAAGAGGAACTTTTATGCTTGATAGCCACGGATAGGGCAAGATGAAAATGGCACAAAGTAAAGGTCAAGTAAAGAAGCATGGACTTCAATCTAAAAAAATTAGAGGTTGACCATCTAGCAGTATGTGCAAGAAGCTTTGTTTTGAATGCTCTCTTGGTGATCTGACAAATGTTGGCGGTCAGAGCAAGGTTGATGATTTTATGACTGTTCAAATTTATTATTATATTTTCACGAAATCATATCAATTCAATTTGTTCTAGTTTTTCACGCAAACAATTACTTCTAGTTAATGCTTGTATTCGAAAAAATTGTTACTTAAATAATTTAGGACCCTATCACTAAAAAAATTGAATTTTTTTTAAGAAGGTGAATGTTGCTTTCATTAGCCTAAGCTAAAGCCATGAACACAAAAGTACAAATAAAAACAACAAACAAGTCTCTCGTCATAACTAGGCTCCAACATATTTTAGCGACGAAGTCCATTAAGTGCTTCATCTTGTCCCAACTTGCCAATTGCCATAGACATGCAAGTTGCAACTATATATCATACGGTAAAAAAATACCTTAAAAAGGACCATAAAAAATGCAAATGTAAAGAGACACAAACAATCCAACAAAAGGAACACATCTTGATTACTATACATATAGATTTACAAAATAAAGTACATTGAAGGATGGTATAGACATAGAAGCCATACCCTTTGATTTTGAGGAGACAACAATGAACAACAACATCAACAAGTATATAATACATAGTTACATTAAAGGACTTCACAAAGCTACCTCACAAGCATAAATACATGCATCAAGTAGAGCATGCTGAGTAGAAAGCTTTGGTTTTAGGCAGTAGGGTAAGAAGCTTGCATCGCAATTCCACATATGCCTTCTTTCGCAGGAATATCTCTCTGCATTCGGATATATCCTTCCTCTCCCCATTGAGCTCCCCATGAGTTCTTGATAAGCCAGTACTTCATCCCGCCGCTCTCACCATAGCCGACAGCGGTCACTCCATGGTCCAATTCAGTCCCACATTCTCCGGTGAAGATCCCGCTCTCGTAGAGTTGGAACGAGGAATCCCCTGCATCGATCGCCACAGAAATCGGTTGACTAGCTACCGCCTTGAGCAATGCAGATTCGCTGTTGGCTGGCACATCTTCATACCCCTTGATTGTAGCCGCGTGATTGCCTTCTTTGCTAGCACTGCAGGACCCATCGGCAGCACTGTATGGGTAATTGGCCTCAGTGGTCAAACCCTTGTTCGCGATGATGAATTTGAAGGCGTCATCCATCAATCCGCCGCTGCAACCCTGGTCATCTCCCTTGGTGTCACAATCAACCAATTCTTGCTCCGAAAGGGATACCAATTTGCCGGTACTAAGCTGAGTGATCCCTTCCATGGCCCCAACAGCAGAAAATGCCCAGCAGCTTCCGCATTGGCCTTGGTCTTTCATTGGAGTGACGGCTCCCTTCTTCCTCCAGTCCATGGTGGTTGGCACTGCAGTCACATTCTCGTACCTAAATGGTCCTTGTTGCGCAGAGCATATGTGGCCCTTGAACCTGTTTCTAGTTGTTCTGAACTCCTCGTTCGTCAGATCAGCAAACTGGTTGGTACCTAGCTTGTAAGGCTTGTCTCCTGCGGCATTGAACGAGTCGACCAGAGCTGCATTGTCCTTGAATATTTGGTACCGTGCCTCCTTCTCGTTGGCACTCCCGTAAACTCGCCCGTAACGAGCCATCCATTGCTCGTGCCTAAGGCGCATGGCGGCCTCATGAGGAGCGTAGCGTGCCATGGATTGAGAAGCCAGAGCTCCTAGAATGAAGATGGAAGCTAGGAAGAACAACTTGTTATCGAGGACCGCCATCTGGGGAATGCTTGGGAGCTTCTAATTAGTGAGGTATATGATGAAATAGAAGAGAGGATTTGTGACTTCTCTTAAGGGCGGACATGCTCTGCTTTTATATACAGCAACAGAGCCAGGGCAGGGGATCGATCAACCATTACATAGAAATAGTGAGCTGATTGCATTCAGATTGTGGAAGTTGAAGGGTGATTCATATCAACGTGACTGACAAAACCTTTTGATTTGGACCCATTTCCCTATTTTAATCACATGATTGATTTAGCGTTCAATTCATCAAGAAGTAAACTAGTGTTCGTGGGTGATTAACGGAGAACCGCCGAATGAGAGGATACACTAGAATTATTTATGTTCCGACTTCCGTCCATCCATCCATCCATATAATTGACTAGTAACTCGTCTTCTATGTACTTGTGGTTCCAAAAGCCAATAAAAATCATTAATAATTTCATAACATAGTTCAATAATTAGCTGCTGGCTAGGGCCAAAGAGGGTATCATTCTACTTGCTTTGAGCTGGGCCATTAACTGGCCGGTAGACAAATGTTTTCGCTAAGATAATTTGGTTTGTGGATCACGATACATGAAATTGTTGTGTAATATGATGGTATAAAACTAATCAATATTGGAATAGTTTGGTTTAAATATACTCTATAAGTTATGGTTATACATGAGTTATAGTTTAGTAACTCTGTAGTATAAGAGCGTGACTCATGAATATGCGATTGCTACCATATTTTTTATTTTTATTTTTAACATCTATAAAAATGGTTATCATGGTTAATGTTTATTCTTTGGAGCAAAAGTAGCTAAATCCAGAGTTGGAAAAAAAAATTAATTGAACAAGAATAGCTCCGGAATTGAAAAAGGCGGGAAAGAATGCGCTGGTATGCAGGGTGCTAATTTGGAAGCATAAGAAGTCCAGAAATTTTAATTTTTGAAGTATAAATGGAGAAGTGCTTATTATATTTTAAAAATATTTTTATAATGGGTTATAGGTATAATATGCCCATCTACTATGACGTTTTATCAAACATGCCCCTCTATTATTTTTTTACATCAAACATGCCCCTGTAATTTGGAAAAATTATCAAACATGCCCTTAAGTTGAAATTTCCATTAAAAAAATCGACAATCATGGTTGAACCGAGATTTAGACGACCTGACATCGATAAATGAGAGAGAAAATGTTAGTTTTGACTCTTGTTTTATTTCTCTAGGTCTCGTCAAAGTGAAATTATTAGAATTATTTGGCTATACAAAAGAACAAAAAAAAAACTCTAAAGTGAAATTATTAGGGACATTTTAGATATTTGGTTCGCCCAAACCAAAGTTCGGTCTTGGTTAACGATTTTTGGATGGAAGTTTTAACAAAACCCATGTTTGATAAGTTTTCCAAAGTACAAGGGCATGTTTGATGTAAAAAATAGTAGAAGGGCATGTTTGATAAAATATCATAGTAGAAGGGCATATTATACCTATAAGTCTATAACCCTTTTATAATCAAATCGGTCACTGAACTAAATTATTTAGTAATTTATAGTTCAATAATTAACAGTTATATACTACAACAAACATTATTTCTAGCTAACGTCAGAGCACGTCGTGGCTAAAAGCCCTATAAAACCATTACTGAAGATTTCTGTGATGAAACAATCGTCACTAATGTAAAATTCAGTTCGTCACATATACTGTCGCCAAAAGTTTTATGCGACGAAATTATTGCCACCGACACTAATGATGTTGCCGATCGTTGAAAGTCTATGTTTCTTCACGTAGGAATATTCCGCGACGAATTGTGTCGTCACAAAGTCTGACTTTCTGCGACCACATATCTGTAGCAATGATCACTTTGCAATATAACTTCCTGAACCGAAGAGTGACCTTCGGTGACGACAATTTCTGTCGACAATAGATTTTACGCCAAAATTGTTAATTTTGCTGTTTATTTTTATTTCTGGTCTTTGTTAATAAAGTATTAAATAATCAATCGTTGGCGCAAACGGGAATACAAAAAACCATTCTCATTTAACAGTTACAAAATATACAATCTCGTTCAAATTAGAAGCTCTTCTCGTAAAAATATAAATGGACTCCTATGAAAATGAAAATAAAAATGTTTAAATAAGTACCTACATCTATTTATAGCACTATATACAAGTAATTTTATACAAAATCATTAATTATTCGTACTCAAACTAATCTTCAATCATATTAGAATAATCTCACAGTACATAATATTAAAACTATATTTCATACTATAATAATCATCCTAAGTGAATAAGTGTTGTGATACAATTTAAAAATGAACCTTTTGAGATTAATAAATTGATTGTTTAACTAATGAGTGAATATCTTGGAGGCACGAAGATTTGTTTTCAACGCTCTATTGGTGATTTGACATACACTTGAGAGCCATAGCAAATTTGAGATTTTCACATTATTTACTTCTAGTTTATGCATAAATTAGCTAGACTTTAATAATTTAAAAGGACCCTATCGTTCAAAACTTTGATTTTTTTGAAGAAATTGAGTGTTGCCTTCATTAACACATGCTAAACCCATGACCAAAATAAGTAATATGCGTGGTGCAAGCCAAAACCCAACAATAGAATATAGCAGTTAATCACACCGCCATATCGTAGGAGCAAATTTAAAACAAACGTATTAGTCCTCAAAATCGGATTACAACATACTACAAAAAGGATACCTTTAAAAAATACCATATAAATGAAAATATAAAATGTCACAATGCAACGAATAATAATTTTGCTAAATAAACAAAACGATGTAGATGATGGAAATTAAACAACGGAAATAAGAAAAAGAAGATTTTTATTACTAGACATATAGATTTACATAATACCTTGAAGGTATGCACAGAATCAAATTCTTTTTGTTTACGGGAGACAACAACAAGAACATAATATATAGTTACATTACATAAAGTACTTCACAAAACTATCTTACAAGCATAAAATATATGCATTAAGTAGTACGGTTGCATGCATGTCGAGTGGAAGCTTTGGTTTTAGGCAGTAGGGTAAGAAGCTTGCATAGCAATGCCGCATATGCCTTCCTTAGCAGGAATATCTCTTTGCATTCGGATGTATCCTTCCTCCCCCCATTGAGCTCCCCACGAGTTCTTGATGAGCCAGTACTTCATCCCGCCGCTTTCACCATAACCGACAGCAGTCACTCCATGGTCCAATTCAGTGCCACATTCTCCGGTGAAGATCCCGCTCTCATAGAGCTGGAACGAGGAATCCCCTGCATCAATTGCCACAGAGATAGGTTGACTAGCTACCGCCTTCAACAATGCAGATTCGCTGTTGACCGGTACATCTTCGTACCCATTGATTGTAGCAGCGTGGTTGCCTTCTTTGCCAGCACTGCAGGATCCATCAGCAGCACTGTATGGGTAATTGGCCTCAGTGGTCAAGCCCTTGTTGGCGATGATGAATTTGAAAGCATCATCCATCAACCCGCCGCTGCAACCCTGGTCATCTCCTTTGGTGTCACAGTCAACCAATTCTTGCTCCGAAAGGGATACCAATTTGCCGGTAGTGAGCTGAGTGATCCCTTCCATGGCCCCTACAGCTGAAAACGCCCAGCAGCTTCCGCACTGGCCTTGGTCTTTGATTGGAGTGACCGCACCCTTCTTCCTCCAGTCCATGGTGGTTGGCACCGCGGTCACATTTTCATACCTAAACGGTCCTTGTTGCGCGGAGCACATGTGGCCCTTGAACCTGTTTCTAGTAGTTCTGAACTCCTCGTTCGTCAGATCAGCAAACTGGTTGGTACCTAGCTTGTAAGGTTTGTCTCCGCCAGCATTGAACGAGTCGACGAGGGCTGCATTGTCCTTGAATATCTGGTACCGTGCCTCCTTCTCATTGGCACTCCCGTAAACTCGCCCGTAACGAGCCATCCATTGCTCGTGCCTAAGGCGCATGGCGGCCTCGTGAGGGGCAGAGCGTGCCATAGCCTGAGAAGCCAGTGCTCCCAGAATGAAGATGGAAGCTAGGAAGAACAACTTGCTATTGAGGACTGCCATCTCGGGAATGCTTGTGAGCTTCGAATAAGTGATGAAATAGAAGAGAGGGTTTGTGGCTTCTCTTAGGCTGACATGCTCTGCTTTTATATAGAGCAACAGAGCCAGGGCAGGGGATCAATCAACCATTACATTGTGGGCTGATTGCATTCAGATTGTATGCTTCATATCTAGTATCAACGTGACTTATAAAACGTTCTGATTTGGACCCATTTCCCTATTTTAATCACATGGTTGATTAGCGTTCAATCCATCAAGAAGGTAACTAGTGTTCGTCCATCCAAATAATTGACTTGTAATCCATCTTCAACGTATTTTGCTGTTTCAAAAGCCAAAATAAACTTCACTAAAAAAACCCAATGCACACACACAAATTATATTTAAAATCATTAACATTCATGCACCAATCCACTTTCGTTTCATTTGGGTCATATTTAATCAAGATGCTCTCACCAGAAAAAAAAAAAAAATATATGTATTCAATCAAGATGCCAATTATTTTAGATTGTTGAGTAAAGATTAATTATTATGGGTTGTAAATCATAAACGTTAGTCGAGTCATGTTGAGTCATCTATATATAGTGTTATATTTCTATGATAGTTCTCAGGGTTCCAATCTTGATACCCCAGTTTTTAAGCTAGAGGTTATAGTTTAAATGAGCCAAGAATGACATAACTAACTTAACTTATCATTCGATGGCAATTTGAACATGCCCCGTCGGGTATCATCCTTCCTAACTCGTGATGGGATATATATGATCTGATCTACAGTAGCATGGAACGAGACATGAGTATATAGTTCTGACCTGTCTCACCCTCTTCATTCTATCTCATTTTCATACAATATCTATTCATATTTCTCATATTTTGACTTTGTTTCAACTAGTTAAACTCAATTTCCCATTATATTATCACTGTTTTTTTTTCCGTTTCTTTTATAGTAAAAAATTAAAATTTTGCGTCTTATTTTTCAAATAACATATAAGAGTGGGTAGATTGTTGAGCACTCGTTCCGAATCTCATTCTTCTGAAATGTTAAGAATTGAACACACAATCGGATACATGTGAAGTTTAAGAACTCATTCTGATTCTCATTCTTGTAAAATGTTCCGAGTGAGCGATTGTTGAACATTGTGTACATTGATGTCGTATAAAACCATGGTCCAAATCTGTAGAAATGCACTCTCTTTTTCGTTGAATTAGAGTTGCACTCTCCTATTCCAAAGATCAGTCGTCCGTATAAACAAGTTGTCACTAATGGTTTAAGAGAAATCATTTCTTATCTTCAAGAAACTTTAGATGGAGTGATTTTCAATGGGGATTGTACGAGTGATCAGTTCCGGCTCATTCGAAAGAAAAGTTTAGTTCAATAACTTGCTTAGGAAATGATAAAAGTTGAATGGCTAAACATGAAATTATCCGATTTCGAAAATTGAAATATGCAAGTGAATGACTGGAGGGGACAACCAATGGGAGAAGCCCACGTGGTGGAGGAGCGAAAACACAGAGGCCCGGAAGTACAGCCTGAAAATGGGCAAAGATGCCCCATTGTTGTTACCTTCTTCTCTCGCTTTCTTTCTCTTCTTTCCATCTTGATGTCTATTTCTTCTTTTCCTTTCCCCAAATTACACTTTTCTCTGACGCGCACTCTCCATTTCCTTGTAAAGATGCCATAGACCGCAGAAGTCAGAACTCTCTCTTTCTCCCTCTCTCCTTTACAGTCTGCTAGTTGATTAGTCTCACTCACATCACCGTTCTCAAAAATCCTCATTTACATCGCTATTTCTTTACTCCACCACATTCCCTTCCTTCCACGACTCCTTTCCACACTGTCTTCTTCATATCAATTTGGTGGTTTGCAGATCTGGGTATCTAAATACTACCCATTTGACCCAATGCCCCCGGTTTCCGTTACCCTTCTCTGCGCTTCTTTCATTCTTTCCTCTGGTTGCGACAGTGTCTTGGATCTCGATGTCCAGATTCAGAGCTCTCTTTCTTCTGTAAATATGGTGTAAAATTTTTCACACTTTCCCTGTTTGGGTTGGGTCTGTGTATGTTGTGTTGGGAAATGGGATCGAGCGGAAGCAAACCCTCCTCCGGAGGCGCATCGTCTTCTAGCGGCGGCGGTGGTTCCGCCGCCGCCGGTACTAGGCGGAAGTGTAGAAGTAAAGGGAGTAAGAGTTTCCAGTCCTATTGTCTTGGCCGGGGGTCTGGCTCTCGGGACAGTAATGGCAGCGTCGATGATCATGTCAGTCTATCTTGCCGCACTTTCCCTTTTCTCATTCTCTCTCCCTCCTTGCCCTTTGACAATTAATAATGGTTATTTCTGCTGGCGCATTTCTCACCTTTGCATATTTTCTCTCTTCCTTTGTTGCTTGAGTTGGAAACATTTCCTTTTTACTAATGTGTTTCAAGGTTGGGAAGTTGCCTAATAGTCGTTTGATTTTCTTCGAAGAATGGTAGTTGTGACAGAGCTCATTGGAATGAGCTAGTCATGTTTGAGCAATGCAATGCATATTTAGAAGTCATGAGGCCTACATTATGTGGCACAGTAACACTGGTTGTGAAATATTTAAGGCCGAGATGCTGTTGAGACACTTGGGTTTCACTCTCTAGCCAGAATAAGTCGTTTTCTGTCGTAACCGCTATGTTAGGAACCATGGCTATGAACCTACGAATATTTTTCACCAGAGATTTCACTGCATATGCACGTACAGGTTTACAAGAAACCATGTTAAATACTTCATTAGTGATTTTGGTATTCGGAATCCTTGGTTCGGGATGTTACTTTCGTTAGTTATACTTGCATGTCGTTTGGGGGCTAAATTTATCTCGGAAATTTTGTGGTGCTCTGGTAAATTCTCAGGTCTTTGAGCAAGGGAGTAAAGACGATGAGATTGAGGACTCATCCGATAATCAAACAGAGGGGGATCAAGTGAAGGTTGAATGCTGTAGAAAGGTTAAGGTTCAAGACTCTGATGATGTACCTTGTCTAACTTCTAATACTGATAATGATGAATGGAGTCAAGCCAGTGTCTCCAATACTGCTTCGAGAACTGCTAGCAGTTCTGCCCGTGCTGTTTCTCCAAGTCGCTTCCTTTCTCGATTTAGCTTTATTCCTGGCAATGTGAGCTTCAGACTCGGCAGAGCAACAAGTTTAGGTTCTTCAAGGGCTCTTCCTTCATCAACTCTCAGAATGTCGAATGATGACGAGGAGATTTGTGCTCATCCAGCATCTGCTGATGGGAGAAATGATGTAGATGAATCTCGGCAAGATCCTAATGTTCTGCCTGCTTCATCAGTCTCGAGAACTTCAGCTAGATTTAGGATTAATAATCAACTGTCTGATTCTTTGGACAGGCTGCAACCCGATCAGGCGATTTCTTCTGATCAATACAGTATAGGAAATGAAAGAAGCACCCACGTCTGGGTTGATAGAGATCTGGATTCCTCAGGAGCTTTGAATGATTTGGATGGTATTGAGACCCGACTTGCTGATAGGCGGACAGCAGCTAGAGAACCTGTTGAACGGAATGTTCGATTTAGCAGGACTTTAAGTGTTGGGAGACTTCGTGATAGAGTTCTCAGACGATCTGCTCTATCTGATATGTCTTTTTGTCCTTTGCCACTTGAAAGAGAAGAGAGAGATGGTGATCGGGGTAATAGGGCACAGCATTTGGGTGGTAGGGCTAGAGCAGTGGGATCTGAACTCGATTTACCGGTCTATCCAAATGGTTCTGATCATCCTTCATCTGGCATGCCAAACTCCTTGTTTGGCATTCAGGATGTTGAAGTGCAAACTTCTCGATCAAGGGAAGATAGGTATCATGACTTACTTGAACATAGGTCAAATTTCCTCGAGCGAAGGAGACGAATACGGTCTCAGGTATGTAAATTTTCCTTTGCTATATCTCTGCAGCACATGATTTTAGAATGTATGCTGTGCACTCTGGCAAGCATACACTCACTTTATAGGGTGTCACATATTCCCTTCCCTCATAATTGTGATTCCGATAATTTGATTTGTCCAATAACGATCTCAAATTCATCAAATTGCCATTATACATCAAAATTTGAGTAAAAATCATGATTTAGTTGTAATTCTTGTTTTTACTATGTTGGACTAAGTTTACACTAGTGTGCATACTATGCATTCATTGTTGTTACTGTACTCTAGTAATCACCTATTATTGACTGTAGCATCGTATCATTGAATATTTATAGTTGTCTTGATTGGAATCATCTGCCCTTCTCACCTGAAGCATTACTTCTGTATTTTCTTTTTCTCTACAGCCAATACATGCTAAATCTCAGTCCGGCTAATTGCTCTGTGCATGATGCTTTTCAGTGTTTATTGTGACACCAAATGTCTGACCTGTATGTCACCGCTGGTGTAGGTCCGTGCTCTTCAGAGGTTAGGAAGTCGCTTTGAGAATATGTCTGGACATGGGAGGTCTTGCATTTTATCTGGTCAACATAGAACTGGTCGTTGTACATGTCGTCTAAGTAATCGTGATGCCAATTTAAATGATGATACAAGTGCTAGAGCTAGCATATCAAGAATTGTCATGTTAGCTGAAGCTCTGTTTGAGGTAATGTGTCCCTTTTGCAATAGCGTTCCTTAGATTTTTTTCTCCCCTTTACACTGCCTCTCTTTCCTGCTTTTCTCAAATTCTATCTCTATGAGTTGAATTTTACTTTTAAACATATCTTAATTAGGTTCTGGATGAAATTCACCAGCAATCTGTGGTATTATCTTCTCGGCCTTCTGTATCTTCCCTTGGATCTGTCCCTGCCCCGAACGAAGTTGTGGAATCTTTACCTGTCAAGTTATACACCAAATCACAAAAACAACAGAATGATGAGGCAGCACAGTATGTCAATGTGCTCTTTTTCTCTATGCTTTTCGTCTCCTTTCATTTGCTTGAGCATTACTTGTAATATGTGGGTCTCAGGCTCTCAGCCTATACATTATGGAAGTTCTCTTTGCTTGTGCATTTAGGTGTGGGAAATGTGGGTTTCTCATAGATTGGAGTTTTCTGATATGCTTTGCTTTTGCTCAATTCTGAGAAATGTGGATTATAGGATGTAGAATAGGGATAGGTGGGTAAGTAAGAAACCACTTCTATTATTGTGATGTATCAATCACTCTACTTATGATTATCCAATAAGCTTGGTGTTAAATAGGGGAGCAATTAGCCTTGTCCTATCACTAATTTGCAGCTTCAGTCCTGATAATTGATATACCATGCTTCACACCTAGACTAATGTAGACTTATTTGTCCTGATAATTGATATACCATACTTCTCGTTGGAAATCTTGTATAATGATGCATTTGCTGATGATAGCTCTGGGTGCTGGATGTTCTTCCATCTGGGGTTTAAGCTAACTTCCTCGGTTGTTTTTTTGGGAATTTCAGGTGTTACATATGCCTTGTCGAGTACGATGAAGGAGAGTGCATGCGGGTACTGCCCTGTCATCATGAATTTCATAGAGCTTGCATAGACAAGTGGCTGAAGGAGATTCATAGGTATGGATGGATACATGCATAATTGTGTATGGTTTGTTTGTTTGTTTTCCTGGTTTTGAACAATTTGGGAAATTTACATCACTTTCTTATCAATATGGTTTGCAGAGTATGCCCACTTTGTCGTGGAGATATATGCAGGCAGGCGTCCTGATGCAGTACTGGCAGCCGATCATTGATGCAGCCAGAGGTCACTTCGTGTGTGGAGAGTGAACATAATTGCATTGTATGAGTTGAGACAAATTTGACGTTGCAAAATGGCAATAGGTTTAATATAGCAGAAGAGTTCAGCCCTTTTCTTCCTGTATTACAGTACAACAACTGCGTCCTTTTGGCGGGATTGAATCGAGCATTGGGCAGAAATGGACTGAACTACTACACATATCTGGCAACAAGAGAGTAAATTCCTTCCTGATTCCAACATAAGGCATGGATTTGTTAGCGTTTTCTTGAGATTGAGATGCAGTAACGTAAGTAAGTTGCAGGATGTTCTGTTGTCAGCTTATTTCATTTTCAGTTACAATCATGACGCCATTGTGATAAAAATGGCAAGTTGAGAGGAGGCAGAAAAGGACATAGGTAGAAACAGGAAAGGGAAGTAACTCCTCTATTCATATATAACTGGGCAGGAAAGGTTAGCTGCCTGCAATGTCATTTACGTACACAAGTTAGACATGTTGAAGAAGAAGTAATTAATTAATAAAATGAATGAATGCGAACTACTATTAATTAACCACTGAGATTGCGACCTATACATCCTTAATTATATAATAATTTAATCATTAACACGCAGTCGTTGGAACCAAAGTCCCATGTTCCCTTCCCAGCAGGGAGTCCCTTTGTTCCCAAAGCAAAGCTTACTACTATTACGAAACCTTTATTTATTTATAGACTTATTTAGGGCATGCACTCGGTACGTAGTCGGTACCAAATTAATTCTATTTGTAAATCAATATTATATGTATTATTTACACTATTTCATTTCCACGTATAGCTATCTGATACATATTTTGTGGAATTAACTTTAATTGCTTTTTTTGGGGTGGGGGAATAAATAACAAACCAAACACCAACATTGATATATGCATTTACAATGATACACTATTATCAATTTATTATAGCATACAAATACAACGTTATTACAAATCAAACACTATTATTAATTCATTATAGTGTTCAAATATCAGAACTTGTATGTTCTTGATGAAGAGTTAGTAATAACGAGCGCTGAAAAGATGAAAACGAGCTATTTCATCCTCCAGATTAAAAGCGGTGGGCACCAAAGAGAAGCATGAGAACCACCACGAAAAAAGTGAGGTCATGGCATGGCGACAACACTTAATAGGTGTTGGTCGGCGAAACTCATTATAAAAAAGGTGATCAATTGACAGTTTTGATAGAATAATTTATACATAATAATAAGTAACATACAGTAACGCCTCAATTTATACTATTACATCAAAACCACTTTGTTTATAGCATCTAAATAAATTTAAATTTGTAAAAAACATGTTGGATTGTGTGGTTAATTAAGCCGTAAATCCTAGTTGCGTAAAACTAACAACGAGGGTTATAGGTGAGTAAGTAAGAAACAACTCTTTTCATTGGTGAGGGAATTGGTGTAGGAATAACAACGGAGGGTTTTCGAAATGAGAATAGTCATTGGAAATCTTGTATAATGATGCACATGCTGGTAATAGTCCTTTTGGCGGGATTGAATCGAGCATTGGGCAGAAATGGACTGAACTACTAACACATATCTGGCAACAAGAGAGTGAATTCCTTCCAGATTCCAACAGAACACATGGATTCGTGAGTAAGAAGCAATGCTGCTGTAGTTGCAGCCTTGCAGGTTGTTCTGGTTGTCAAATTTATTTGATTCCATCTTCAGTTCCAATCATGACGCCATTGGGATTTAAATGGCAAGTTGGGACGACGAGGCAGAAAAGGAAATAGGTCGAAACAGGAAAGGGAAGTAACTCCATTATAAGTGGGCAGTAAAAGGGTAGCTGCCTCCAATGTCATGTACGTACAAACTAACAAAAGTATACAGATGGAGTTCATGCTTAAGAAGAAGAAGAAGAAGAAAAAGTTAATAATTAATGAATTTGAGCTACTAATTAATCACTATGATTACGACATATACATATCCATATAATTATTTGTTCAGCAGCAACATTCTGCCAGTAGACCTTCAACAGTGTAACCACAGTCGACGTTGAAACCAAAGGCGTCGTTGACGTTGCATGTTCCCTCCGCTGAGGCTGAGACGGCCGACCACCAAGCTGCCTCCTCTGCCGTTACTAATAACTCCATCTCCACCGACTGCTGCTGCGTCATTGCTCCTTCTCCTTCATTACTCCCCGCTTGGAAGAACGACGGTGATACTACTTCTTGGTTGCCGTTGCCGTCAATCCCGTTGTCCTCTTTGACGTCTGCCAAGCATTCTTCAATCTCCTTGTCGAACAACGAGTCCAGCTCTTCTTCCTCTTCTTTTAATACTGCCGACGAGCATCCTTCCGGCTCCGCTTGGAACGGCGGAGATACTAGTTCATCTTCGTGGCCACCGCCGCTGGCCGAGCCTTGTAATACTTCCGACAACAAGCACGGACGTTCCATCTCTACATCCACGGAGGAAGATACAACTACTACTTGTTGGTCATCGCCACCGTGGAGCTTCCGCCGCTTGTAAGTGGTGGTGGATCCTTGATCATCACTCGCAGCTGGAGCCACGTCGTTGTCGGCGGCATCGTGGATGAGAATGACTCTGGGGGCAGACTTGTTGTTGTTGTTGTTCTTCCTCTTCTTGGAGCTCTCCTTCTTTCTGAGTCGGCAGACTGCGAGCTTGGACGCAGCGGCATAGTCAAGCCCTAGCGCGGGGATCGGCACAAGGCAGTACTCGTGCATGATCCACGAACAACAACTACTCTGCGTCCCTTTGTCGTCCTTGCTCTTCTTGGCACGGTAGGTAAACCGCTTTTGAATCCAGGAAACGGCGCCGTCGAGGGTCTGCGACTCCTTGCCGGAGTCTTCCCCGTGCCAAGCCCCGCCGTTGGACCCGACGCTACGGTCGATTCTTTGCCCGGTTGCGGTTCGCTTCTTGAGCGGCGTGAAGAAGTAGAGATCGTTCTTCTTCTCGTCGCCGCCGTCAGCATCTTCTTCGTCTTCTTCTTCGTGGGCGGCGCCTTGAAAGTGGTTCCAGATGTCCCAAGGCTCCAGATCGCCGTAAAGGTTGCAGTCCTTGACGTAGTCATCGGAGGGGAGCGGTAACCCGATAAGCTTACTCAGCAGGTAATCGACGACGAGTTCGTCGTCGGTGGGGAGGAACCGGAACCCTACGTTGCGACGAACGCGATCGAACTCCATTCTCTGGTGCTGCAGGAACTTGTCGGCAATCTCGACCTCGATCTCTCGCGCGCGGGAGAACTGAGAGAAACCTAAAGGCTAAATCTACGTACGTACGTAAGTGGAGTGAGAGAGAGGGAGTGATGTGCGTTGTGTTGCGAGGAATAAGAGGAAAGCAAAGCGCTATTAGGAAAGCTTCATTTATAGATTTACTTAGCGCATGCATTGCAGACTTGTTTTGTAATTCCATTTTGTAAATCAATATAATTATTTGTATTATTTACACTATTTCAATTCCATTTTGCTTTTTGATGCATATTTGCGAAATATTATTTCTTTTCCTACACGGAATTGCCTAAAAACTTATGATTACAACATATCCACCTATGTCTTGCTGGTCAATCTAGTTGTTACTGCATTATGTTCATTTACTTTGATAATTATGTGTGTCGAATATCTAATTCTAATTTAGTGTTAATTACAATAATTTTTTCCCCGTTTTTGTTTTGTTTTGTTTAATTGTTACGTCACTTATTGAACGGTCAACTACGAAAGTTGACTGTCACATCAACTAAAGTTAACGAATTTGGACGGAGAGTAACAAAACTCAATTAAATGATTGAACTAATTTTAGTCACCAAATGTAAAACATTTTGATAAACCCTATGGCCAAACTTACAATTTACCCAAAAACTTAAATTTCATCATATGTGCAGATTAGGGCAGACCTCGGTACATCTGATTTTTTCGCCGTTTATATCCTCCTAAATTGCTTGAATGTGCTGAGTTTTTTTTTTTTACAATAATGTGCCGAGTTCAAAGTAAGCAATGTGTTTTTTTTTCTGTGCCACCCAAATTGAAGTTCTTCCTTTGCCGGGCCGTTCGTGGTTTCTTTGCTCTATAGATAGTGTTGTTCACTAAAACGCTTGTTACTTATACTATTTGTCCTATTTGTTCTGGGGAACCAGAATCCTTTTCCCTCTTTTTCTTTTCTTGCAGGATAGCTCGAGGCTTTTGGAGTTTGGCTAACCTTGAAAGCCTGAGTACCATTCTTGGTGGAATGCCTTCTGATGAGGCCTGGCCACATCTTTTCTTCTCCATTAACTTGTCCAAACTCGAACTTGCTAACATTGTTTTCATTCTTTGGAGAATTTGGAAGGGATGTTGTTGGGCGTTTCACGATCACATTCAGTATCTCCCTCATGCATTATTTCGGCAGTATCGACGCCAAGTGGACGAGTGGAGGGAGGCTACTCAGGCACCTCGATCCACCTCAGTCTCATCGTAGGACTACTCATCTCCCCGCCGCATCAGCTCGTGTTGGGCCATCCCTGACCTCTGGAATTTCTCCCATTATTAATGTTTGGTTTGATGGGGAGGCCAAGCGTAGCCAAGGAGGTAGTATGGGTTTCGTAGGTTTCCATGAGACAGGTACTGTGCTCTTTGCATTTGGCAAATATTATGATGGAATTCAAGATCCATTTATTATGGAATGTTTAGCCTTGTGTGATGCTTTGCAGTGGTGTCTAACCCATTCTTTTCTTGCTGTTTTTTTGCATGGGGACTCTCAACTTTTAATCCGGCGGATGGTTGGAGGTGATTTGCATCATGATCGGGGAGGTGCTATTTTGGCGGATGCTAAGAGCTTGGCTTCATCGTTTAGCAGTATCTCTTACTGTTTTGTGTCCTGTTAACTCAATAGGCCTGCCCATCATGTGGCACAAAAGGCTCTTTCATTGAGAGTTCGACTATTGGTCGACTCTCTCTCTTTTCTTTCTTCCTCCTTATGACTTTCTTTCAACATTGACTTTGCGAAAAAGAAAAAAAAAGTGTGTTTTTTTTCTTTTTCCCTTCTGATAGTTGCAAAACTTAATTATAACTTGTTCCAGACCATTATTTGGGGCTCTGCTCTTGCATTTGCAGGGATTTGGGGATTTAACAAGTAATGTTGGGAGGGATACAAGATGGTTGATTAGAGCTCTGATTTTGAAACTTGGCAGTCTTTCGACTTTGCATTCAACAAATCCCAAAAAAACAATAGTACCCCAAGGAAGGGGGAAAAAAGAAAACTAGAGCAGCTTGTTATTCTACTAGCTAGTTGCAGAGTTCACGAGCAATTCCAACCACGGATTTCTTCTCATCAAACAAGACCCGGATGTTCTGCTGCTGCAGATTGGCTATAACGTTGAGCACCGAGTTCACATTCTTTGGCACCGCCGCCATCGCCAGGCAGGCCAGCGGGCCGGAGCTGCTGTGGATCAGGCTGTTCTCCATCGGCAGCACCAAATCCAGCCCCTGAAAATGGAGCGTAATCACCGGCGCCCCAGCATCCTCATTCGCCGCGAAACACGTGTCGAACGCTCCCAGGCTCGAGAACGGCCCCTTCACCTGCTTCCTGAACTCCTTGCGTATCGCCGCATAAACCGGCCCAACGAACCGGGTTATCACCGTGCCCGAGTCGATGATCGTACCGGCCCCGTTCTTCGGGTTGAACCCCAGCGATTTAGAGGGAATTGGGACTTTGACCGAACCGACGCTGACTCCCGTCATGTTGACGTAGTACAGGGAGGGACGGTGTGGGTTCTTGAGAAGCGGAGTGGTCGGGATGAATTTGGGCTGGCCTATTGGGCCCAACTTGAGCGTGCCGGAAAAGTAGTAAGAGTTGAAGCTGGGCAGGCAGTAGGAGAAAACACCGGAATAGAGCTGGTCAGTCTGGACAAGGAGTGAGAGAGGCCCACGACCCAGGCCCAAAAGTCCCTGGGCCGGGATGGACCCACCGGAAATGGAGTGGACGCACCCGAAGGCGAAACCGGAGATGTAGTAGCCGCCGAGGAACAAAAAGTCGGTGCCTAAAGTAGCGGAAAAGTGGGAGTCGCCGCCGTAGGACTGATTGTAGAGACACTTGCCGGCGGGGCAGGAGGAGCCGCCGGGGACGTGGGAGCAAAGCTCGCTCGGGCAGTCATAGGCCCAATAAGAGGAGGCGTTGGGGTCGAAGAAGGCGAGTGGTGGATCGGCGGCGGAGCAGCCTTCACCGGAGCAAGGAGTGCAGGGGACGAAGGTGAGGTCGTTGCTGATGTCGAGGACCATGGCGAATGTCCGGTTCGGGTTGCCGAGCGTGACCCGGACCACGTAGTTGCCGATGTTGAATAGCTGCTTGCCGGGGGCGATGGGGACGTCGGCGGCGGCGGTGGGGGAGATGAGGGAGGAGACGCGGGCATGGTCTCTGGCGGCGAGGTGGTTGACGGTGTCGAGGAGGGAGGAAGGGTGAGGGGGAGGAGGAGCAGGAGAGGAGACGGGGCAGCATTTGCTGTAGATGGGGATCACAGAGATCCGGGTCGGGTCGTCGGTGGATGTGGAAGAAGAGCATGGGTCGACGGCGGTGGCGGCGGAGGAAAGAAGTAGAGAGAGGAAGAGAAATGTAAATGTTGTAGGATATGTGGTGGTGAGTCGGGCCATGCCGCCATGGTGATTGGCAACCAGCAAATAGGAACTGTTTTTTTTATTTATTACTGTTCTCCTTTTTTTTTTTGGTTGGGTTGTACTTGTAGGTTAAGAACAGAGGAGGGAGCTCCATATATACAAGTTGGGAGTACAAGTAGCTTTATTGGTATTGGTTGCCAGGCTGGTTAAGAGCGTATTCTTATTAATCTATTAATCTATGTATTCTATTAGTTTAAGAGATCCTCAAATCAATTTATACATAAGTACATTGTTTGATGAAGGGTGCTAAATCCGTGGGGTCCACGAATTTGATCTTTATTTTGGAACCAAATCCGTGGACCCCACGGACTTGTAAATCCCACATATTGATTTGGGATTTGCAAATCCTTGATGGTTAGTTATTTATTTAACAAATTCATCACAAATTCATCATCAAATCTATCATGCAAACATTAGACTTTTCAAATCCATAATCCAATAAATGCAACATAAATCCCAAGGTTTTTATTGGCCAAAACCCTCATTTTTCAAATCCAACAACCAAACGACCCCTTAGAATAGAGATAACTACATAAACTCTATATCATTTTATATTTCAAGGAAGTGATGGGAAGATTTTAAACAATTTTAATATTTTATGTATTCTAATATTTAAATTTCTATAATTTGATTATTCATTTACGAATCCAGTATATTTTTTTCTCTCCGACATTTACTTCTACGTAAAAACTACATTTTCACTGCATTGTATACATTACATACACATCATGTTCATTACCCTTTTGTTTAACCTCATGCAGTCATGCTCCGGATCATGATTAAGTTTACCCTTAAGGACATCCATCACCTTAATTCTAGATTGTAGCGGTCCACAAAATAGGGCAATTTTGGGATCCACTTGATTATAGTGGTCATATATCCATCCACTGAAATATAAGATAAACTTAATATTTAAATAATATGCTAGTATTGGGATTCTACGTGTTTACAATACTAATTTAATAATAATAATAATAATAATAACAACAACAACAACAGGGGTTTGGACTGAGTCTGATTGGTCTGATGCTAATCCTAGAGCAAACAAATTAGACTGGTCCATCCACGTGACTCACGTGAGCCCAACCCGGAAAAGAAAACAATATATTTGTGTGTTTTCGAATTTCGAATAAGGAAATGGGAAGTTGATCATATAATCATGGTGGTGTGCTCTGAGTAGGGTCCGGTCTTCATCGGACTTGTTCACACTTGAAAATCGACCACTTGTTTAGTGTTCACCAATATTAATGCTATAAGGTGCCGAAAGTGGAAAACATTGTACTGGCATTTGGCAACACTTGAAATGTGTTGCAAAAGGTACCGAAAATGTTGCGTATGCAATACGTAACATTTTTACTAGTGTCCTCTATAGGTAGTGTTGTATAAACTAATAGATAACACTTTTGGCACGTTTCGCAACAACAAAAATGTGCCGCATAAGTATACTCTATATGCAACACAATTTTACATATGAAACACTATTTCAGGCAACACTTCAAAAGATTTACGTAACACCTTTTGAAATGTTTACCTAACATGTATAAGATTTATTGTGAGGGGTTAATTCTGTCACATAAGATGTGCTCAATTGTGACAACCTTCCAAGTGTAACAAATACTTTGCATTTGTGATGAGTTTGTATAGTCACCAATGTTTTCCACTCGTAACAATTTTAGTTGTCACAAATGATGCGCCTTTTCAGATACACATTTATCACAAAAGGAGGTTTTTGTGTCAGGGATATTGTCGCAAAAGGCGGATTTTGTGACATAGTTTATGTTACCGCTGTGACAACATTAGTGACAAGAAATAAAATTTGTCACGAAAACATACTTTTATGATAAATGGTTTTTATCACTTCTAATAGCATTTTTGACGTTGGTGTGTTGTAAGAGAAGTATACATTAGTGACGATTTGATACATGATCAAAACCATTTTATGTAAGACATATTGTCGTCACAAATATAATCAATAGTGAGAACTTTAGCCATCACAATTTTGTATAGTTAGTGAAAACCGTGTTGTCACGATTATATTTTTCGGTAACAAAATTAAACTCTAAATAATATTGTAGTGACGTACTTTTTGTGTCGCAAATGACAATTTTTGTGACGATTGTACATTGTAGCAAATAGTATATATAAGTGTCAATTCGATATGTCACCAAACATTATTTATGTGGCAACTATTGTCATTAGAAAATACAACGATGGTAATGATTTGACTCGACATAAATACAATTTTCTTATATCAAAGTTGTCTCGTATATCACATTAAGTGACAAGAAATATGACTTGTTTTTGTCGTAATTGTAATGATTTTGTGACAAATTGCTAGTCACAAATACCAAATTGCAACAAGATTTTGTTAATAATAAAAATAATTCATTATAAAAAGGGAATAGATTTCGTTTAACTCAATCCATATGTAAGAAATATCTTTAACTCCAATCTCAACAATGATATAAATTAAATATAGTAGAAAAAATGTACTAATAGGCTATTGTTTATGTTCAAAGTAAAATTGTCTCTCATGTCGATCGCATTTCTCTCATCTTTTCCTCATGGTTTTTCTGCTTGTTGACGAGCTATTGTCTCCTCAAACTTCTTCTTTTCTTCGGCTAACTTAGCATCATACTGTTGTTGCACCTCTGCTTTGATCTCTGCCCTAAACAGAAACTTATCTTTCCCTCTTCTTCTGGACCTCCTACTACTCTGAGTTTGAGCCTTTCCTCTTTCGGGTAATCAAACTGAAAGCTATTAGAAGTCGAATTCCGAATTACCAGAAAACAAAAGCGAAACCGTCAATAGCTTATTAATTTTGGGGCAAAACGAAAATTGATAAACCCTTATGGTTTTGCTTTCAATCTAAATAAATCGGGTAATAAAAAAGAACCTTTAATTGCGTTAAGGGCTTATCAGTTTTTATCAGTTTATTAACAAGTTTTTCGGTTTGACCAAACAAAACTGTACCGTTAATGACTTGTCGGTTTTTACCCCTTAAGAAAAATCCATAAGCATGTAACCAGTTCGGTTTCGGCCAAAAACAGAAAACTTGAATCGAGCCGTCACCCCTAGTTTTGACTTACAAACTATTGGTGTCGCGAACATTTTAGAGAAACGAATCTAGTTCGCGACTTAATCAGATCTAGTAACCCTATTTTTCTACTATATATGAAGCATTGTTAACTTTGAACCTTACATACTAGATTCAATCCAATTCTTATAAACCCTGAACTTAATTCGCATCACTCGCATCACCTGTCAATCAACTGTCTTCGCCTAGATTTACCTACCGAGCTGTTGATCCGAAATGGAAGGCTCCTGCTGTTTAATTTGCTGATCCCCTTTGTGGTTCTCCTTGTCTGGGGGTTCTGGCAATTAACCTGCAAAATAGAATTAAAAAGTCATATATGTGAACCCATCTCATTACAGTGAAATGTAACCGTAAATAAAATTAACTTTGTGGACTTATAATTGAAGCACATGCTCGATCTACTTATTATATGATGTCTTAGATACTTGCGAAATATGGGTAATCTATGGTATATATTAAAAAATTTTGAGTCAATTTAATTAATTTTGATCCTGAAATCGATCCACAAAAATATTTTCCTAGAGCTTGAGTCTTAAAAAGTTCGAAACCATGTAATTTTTTTTCAAAGAGCTCATTGATACTCGTATAATTATGAATTTATTTCCAACATGCAACTCAATTAGTAAGATCGATGGGATACTATTGTTGGTGAATATTAACATCGAATTAAGAGTTACGTTTTGCATTCTTTCCCACTAAATTAACAAACCTAATATAATTGACATAAAAATAGAATTAGATATTCGACAAACATAATCAAAGTAAAATCAACATAATAATGCACTAACAACTAGATTGGCCAACAAGACCTAGCTAGGTGGATGGAATTGCACATAAATGGATATATGTTGTAAGCATAAGTTCCGGTGAGCAAAAGAAATAATATTGTGCAAATATGCATCAAATAGCAAAATTGAATCTGAAATAGTGTAAATAATATTGATTTACAAAATGGAATTACAAAACTACCCAGCATGCCCTAAATCTATAAATAGAGATTTCCTAATAGCGCTTTGCTTTGCTATTATTAATTACTCGCAACACACTCACTCTCTCTCACTCCACTTACATAGCTTTAGGTTGCCCTCGATCAGTTCTCTCGCGCGCGATTGTTGTCCTTGTCTTCGCGCAATCGAAGAGATCAACGTACATCGACAAAAAGTTCGTGCAGTACGTAGGAGAGAGAATGATGAAGTTGGATCGCCGCGTGGTAGGGTTCCGGTTCCTCCCCACCGACGAGGAACTCGTCGTCGACTACCTGCTCAGCAAGGTGTTGGGATTCCCGCTCCCCTCCGACGACTACGTCAAGGACTGCAACCTTTACGGCGACTTGGAGCCATGGGACATCTGGAAGCAGTACTTTCGAGGCGGCGCCCACGAAGAAGAAGACGATGCTGACGACGATGGCGACGAGAAGAAGAATGATCTCTACTTCTTCACTCCGCTCAAGAAGCGAACCGCGACCGGGACAAGACTCGACCGCAGCGTGGGATCCAACGGCGGGAGTTGGCACGAGGAAAACGTCGGCAAGGAAGCCCAGACCCTCGACGGCGCCGTTTCCTGGACCCTGAAGCGGTTCAGCTACCGTACCAAGAAGAACAAGAAGGAGGAGAAAAAACCGCAGACTAGTTGTTGTTCGTGGATCATGCACGAGTACTGCCTGCTGCCGATCCCCGAGCTAGGGCTTGACTCTGCCGCCGCGTCCAAGCTCGCAGTCTGCCGACTCAGAAAGAAGGAGAGCTCCAAGAAGAGGAAGAACAACAACAACAAGTCTGCCTCCAGGGTCATTCTCATCCACGATGCAGCTTACAGCCACGTGGATGCCGAATCATCAATAATCGACGACAACGAGGCTCATGAGAGTCAGGGATCCACGTCCACTTACAAGCGGCGGAAGCTCCATGGCGAAGACCAACAACAAGTAGTAGTATCTTCGTCGTCCGTGGAAGTCCAGATGCAACGACGTCAATGCCTGTTGTCGGGAGTAAACCAAGGCTTGGCCAGCGACGGTGGCCGTAAACAAGAATTACAAGAAGTAGAATCTTCGTTGTTCCAGAAGGAGATTGACCAATGCTCCTCGGAAGTAAAAGAAGACGTGGTTGACGGCAAGGGCAACTTGATCAACGAAGAAGAAGAAGAGCTGGACTCGTTGTTGGATAAGGAGATTGAAGAAAGCTTGGCACAAGTCAAAGAGGACGACGGGGTTGATGGCAACGGCAACGAGGAGGAAGAAGAAGAGCTAGACTCGTTGTTTGATAAGGAGATTGAAGAATGCTTAGCAGACGTAAAAGAGGACAACGGGATTGACGGCAACGGAAACCAAGGAGTAGTATCACCGTCGTTCCAAGCGGGGAGTATTAATGAAGGAGAAGGAGCAATGACGCAGCAGCAGTCGGTGGAGATGGAGTTAGTAACGGCAGAGGAGGCAGCTTGGTGGTCGGCCGTCTCAGCCTCAGCGGAGGGAACATGCAACGTCAACAACGCCTTTGGTTTCAATTACGTCGACTGTCCTTTCACTGTTGAAGGTCTACTGGCGGAATGTTCCTGCTGAAGAAAATAATTATTAGTAGCTAGTCCGCATTCATTCATTAATTAACTTCTTCATGAGAATTAATTAATCGTCTTCAGCTAGCTTTGAGAGATTGATTCTGCATGTATGGAGACTCTGTATACTTTTGTAAGTAAATAACATAAGCCGGCTGCTACCTTTTACTGCATGCCGACTTATTTTTTCATAAGGGTGATATAAATTTCATTTTGTTGTCATTAAGATACTATTTACGAGATTCGAACATGAGACATCCAAATTTTAGGCTAGTGGTATTACCTTTCCTTTCCTGTCAACTTATTAATGCAACTATGCAAGTTAGTTTCCTTAGTTTCTTCTGCCTATTTATTACCTTTTCTGCTTCCTGTCAACTTGCCATTTTTTACTCAATCAACATATCATGAACTAACATTGTATTAGTGATTGACTGAACTCCATGTGCTAAAACCTATTTGTAATGTCAAGCTTTTGCTTTTAAGGGAATTTGTAATGTCAAACTTGTCATACATCACTCATACAATGCAATTATGTTTATAAGTCTCAAGTTTCAACAAAACAACGTTTCCTCGGCTTTATTAATGATCGGCTGTCCTGTCAGTACTGAATCAGAAGCACTACTATCAATGTAGACATAAATACCCTGAAAACCAGATTAAAAGCAAGTTATATAAATTTCCAAGCTGGTCGCATTACATGGCAAAATTTTCTTGAACTCATAACCAAAGGCATGGAAGAGAGGGATCAAATTGATAGAGCAGCAGCGAAGTGAGCATGGAAGATGAGAATTGAGATGGGAGAAATGGTGGTGATGATAGGCCGTTTTTTACATGCTCAAAACGGAGAACGCAGTTCCTCCAACAACACCCTACACTAAGAGCCTGGTCAACCAGGATCATAACCGTACCATCACCGATTTCGGGTAATTTTTTGAAAATGTCGTTTTCCTTGAATTTTGAAGGCGACGGATCACAGATTCGTCCTTAGGGTACTCTCTACCAATGATGAAGTCTACTAATCACCGATTTGGGCAGAGATTTTGTCGAACTTTTTCGGGGGGTATTTTGGAAATTTTCGGTGAAATTTTCGAAAGGCCGTTTTGCTTGGATTTTGAAGGCTACGGATCACGAATTCAGCCTGAGGCTATTCTTTAGGGATGAATAAGTCTATTAAACACCGATTCGGGCAGAATATTTCCGGGGACATTTTTGGCAGATTCCAAATGGGTACCATCACCGATTTCAGGCGATTTTTTGGAAATGTCGTTTTCCTTGGATTTTGAAGGCGACGGATCACAGATTCGTCCTTAGGGTACTCCCTACCAATGATGGAGTCTACCAATCGGTGATTTGAGCAGAACTTGGTCGACCTTTTTCGGGGGGCATTTTTGTAAATTTTCGGTGATATTTTCGAAAGGCCGTTTTGCTTGGATTTTGAAGGCTACGGATCACGAATTCAGCCTGATGCTATTCTTTAGGGATGAATAAGTCTATTAAACACCGATTCGGGAGGAATATTTCCGGGGCCATTTTTGGCGGATTCCAAAGGAGCATCACCGATTTCAAGAGATTTTTTGGAAATGCCGTTTTCCTTGGATTTTGAAGGCGCCGGATCACAGATTCATCCTTAGGGTACTCTCTACCAATGATGAAGTCTACTAATCGCCGATTTGGGCAGAAATTTGGTCGAAGTTTTTCGGGGGGCATTTTCGTAATTTTTCGGCAACATTTTCGAAAGGCCGTTATGTTTGGATTTTGAAGGCTACGGATCACGAATTCAGCCCGAGGCTATTCTTTAGGGTTGAATAAGTCTATTAAACACCGATTCAGGCGGAATATTTCCGGGGCCATTTTTGGCAGATTTCAAAGGGGTACCATCACCGATTCAGGCGATTTTTTGGAAATGTCGTTTTCCTTGGATTTTGAAGGCGACGGATCACAGATTCGTCCTTAGGGTACTCTCTACCAATGTTGAAGTCTACTAATCGCCGATTTGGGCAGAGGTTTGGTCGAACTTATTCGGGGGCATTTTCGTAATTTTTCGGCGAAATTTTCGAAAGGCCGTTTTGCATGGATTTTGAAGGCTACAGATCACGAATTCAGTCTGAGACTATTCTTTAGGTATGAATAAGTCTATTAAACACCGATTCGGGCGGAATATTTCCGGGGCCATTTTTGGCAGATTCCAAAGGGGTACCATCACGGATTTCAGGCGATTTTTTGGAAATGTCGTTTTCCTTGGATTTTGAAGGCGATGAATCACAGATTAGTCCTTTGGGTACTCTCTAACAATGATGAAGTCTACTAATCGCCGATTTGGGCAGAAATTTAGTCGAACTTTTTCGGGGTGCATTGTCGTAATTTTTCGGCAATATTTTCGAAAGGCTGTTTTGCTTGGACTTTGAAGGCTACGGATCACGAATTCAGCCTGAGGCTATTCTTTAGGGATGAATAAGTCTATTAAACACCGATTCGGGTGGAATATTTCCGGGGCCATTTTTGGCATATTCCAAAGGGGTACCATCACCGATTTCGTGCGATTTTTTGGAAATGTCGTTTTCCTTGGATTTTGAAGGCGACGGATCACATATTCTTCCTTAGGGTACTCTCTACCAATGATGAAGTCTACTAATCGCCGATTTGGGCAGAAATTTGGTCGAACTTTTTCGGGGGGCATTTTCGTAATTTTTTGGCGAAATTTTTGAAAGGCCGTTTTGCTTGGATTTTGAAGGCTACGGATCACGAATTCAGCCTGAGGCTATTCTTTAGGGATGAATAAGTCTATTAAACACCTATTCGGGCGGAATATTTCCGGGGCCATTTTTGGCAGATACCAAAGGGGTACCATCACGGATTTCGGGCGATTTTTTGGAAATGTCGTTTTCCTTGGATTTTGAATGCGATGGATCACAGATTCGGCCTTAGGGTACTCTCCACCAACGATGATGTCTAGCAATGGCCGATTTGGTCGGAAATTTGGTCAAATTTTTCCTGAGGTCATTTTCGTAATTTTTAGGCGCTTTTTTCGAAGGCCATTTTCCTTCGATTTTGAAGGGTGCAGATCACGGATTCAGACTGAGGCTATTCTTTAGGGATGAATAAGTCTATTAAACAAGGTTTCGGGCGGAAAATCTCTGGGACTATTTTTGCCAGTTTCCATAGGGGTACCATCACCGATTTCCGGCGATTTTATGGAAAGTCCATTTTCTTTGGATTTTGAATGCGATGGATCACAGATTCGGCCTTAGGGTACTCTCCACCAACGATGAAGTCTAGCAATGGCCGATTTCGTCGGAAATTTGGTCGAATTTTTCCGGAGGGCATTTTCGTAATTTTTAGGCGCTCTTTTCGAAAGGCCATTTTCCTTCGATTTTGAAGGGTGCAGATCACGAATTCAGCGTGAGGCTATTCTTTAGGGATGAATAAGTCTATTAAACAGGGTTTCGGGCGGAAAATCTCCGGGGCAATTTTTACCAGTTTCCAAAGGGGTACCATCACCAATTTCGGGCGATTTTATGGAAAGTCCATTTTCCTTGGATTTTGAATGCGATGGATCACAGTTTCGGCCTTAGGGTACTATCCACCAACGATGAAGTCTAGCAATGGCCGATTTGGTCGGAAATTTGGTCGAATTTTTCCGGAGGGCATTTTCGTAATTTTTAGGCGCATTTTTCAAAAGGCCATTTATCTTCGATTTTGAAGGGTGGAGATCACGGATTCAGCCTGAGGCTATTCTTTAGGGATGAATAAGTCTATTAAACAGGGTTTCGGGCGGAAAATCACAGGGGCAATTTTTGCCAGTTTCCAAAGGGGTACCATCACCGATTTCGGGCGATTTTATGGAAAGTCCATTTTCCTTGGATTTTGAATGAGATGGATCACAGATTCGACCTTAGGGTACTCTCCACCAACGATGAAGTCTAGCAATGGCCGATTTGGTCGGAAATTTGGTCGAATTTTTCCGGAGGGCATTTTTCGTAATTTTTATGCGCTTTTTTCGACAAGTCATTTTCCTTCGATTTTGAAGGGTGCAGATCACGGATTCAGCCTGAGGCTATTCTTTAGCGATGAATTAGTCTAATAAACAGGGTTTCGGTCGGAAAATCTATGGGGCAATTTTTGCTAGTTTCCAAAGGTGTACCATCACCGATTTCGGGCGATTTTATGGAAAGTCCATTTTCCTTGGATTTGGAATGCGATGGATCACAGATTCAGCCTTAGGGTACTCTCCACCAACGATGAAGTCTAGCAATGGCCGATTTGGTCGGAAATTTGGTCAAATTTTTCCTGAGGTCATTTTCGTAATTTTTAGGCGCTTTTTTCGAAGGCCATTTTCCTTCGATTTTGAAGGGTGCAGATCACGGATTCAGACTGAGGCTATTCTTTAGGGATGAATAAGTCTATTAAACAGGGTTTCGGGCGGAAAATCTCTGGGACAATTTTTGCCAGTTTCCATAGGGGTACCATCACCGATTTCCGGCGATTTTATGGAAAGTCCATTTTCTTTGAATTTTGAATGCGATGGATCACAGATTCGGCCTTAGGGTACTCTCCACCAACGATGAAGTCTAGCAATGGCCGATTTGGTCGGAAATTTGGTCGAATTTTTCCGGAAGGCATTTTCGTAATTTTTAGGCGCTTTTTTCGAAAGACCATTTTCCTTCGATTTTGAAAGGTGCAGATCACGGATTCAGCCTGAGGATATTCTTTAGGGATGAATAAGTCTATTAAACAGGGTTTCGGACGGAAAATCTCCGGGGCAATTTTTACCAGTTTCCAAAGGGGTACCATCACCAATTTCGGGCGATTTTATGGAAAGTCCATTTTCCTTGGATTTTGAATGCGATGGATCATAGATTCGGCCTTAGGGTACTATCCACCAACGATGAAGTCTAGCAATGGCCGATTTGGTCGGAAATTTGGTCGAATTTTTCCGGAGGGCATTTTCGTAATTTTTAGGCGCATTTTTCGAAAGGCCATTTATCTTCGATTTTGATGGGTGGAGATCACGGATTCAGCCTGAGGCTATTCTTTAGGGATGAATAAGTCTATTAAACAGGGTTTCGGGCGGAAAATCACCGGGGCAATTTTTGCCAGTTTCCAAAGGGGTACCATCACCGATTTCGGGCGATTTTATGGAAATTCCATTTTCCTTGAATTTTGAATGAGATGGATCACAGATTCGGCCTTAGGGTACTCTCCACCAACGATGAAGTCTAGCAATGGCCGATTTGGTCGGAAATTTGGTCGAATTTTTCCTGAGGGCATTTTTCGTAATTTTTATGCGCTTTTTTCGAAAAGTCATTTTCCTTCTATTTTGAAGGGTGCAGATCACGGATTCAGCCTGAGGCTATTCTTTAGGGATGAATAAGTCTATTAAACAGGGTTTCGGGCGGAAAATCTCCGGGGAAAATTTTGCCAGTTTCCAAAGGGGTACCATCACCGATTTCGGGCGATTTTATGGAAAGTCCATTTTCCTTGGATTTTTAATGCGATGGATCACAGATTCGGCCTTAGGGTACTCTCCACCAACGATGATGTCTAGCAATTGCTGATTTGGTCGGAAATTTGGTCGAATTTTTCCGGAGGGCATTTTCGTAATTTTTAGGCGCTTATTTAGAAAGGCCATTTTCCTTCTATTTTGAAGGGTGCAGATCACGGATTCAGCCTGAGGCTATTCTTTAGGGATGAATAAGTCTATTAAACAGGGTTTCGGGCGGAAAATCTCCGGGGAAATTTTTGCCTGTTTCCAAAGGGGTACCATCACCGATTTTGGGCGATTTTATGGAAAATCCATTTTCCTTGGATTTTTAATGCGATGGATCACAGATTCGGCCTTAGGGTACTCTCCACCAACGATGAAGTCTAGCAATTGCCGATTTGGTTGGAAATTTGGTCGAATTTTTCTGGAGGGCATTTTCGTAATTTTTAGGCGCTTTTTTCGAAAGGCCATTTTCCTTCGATTTTGAAGGGTGCAGATCACAGATTCAGACTGAGGCTATTCTTTAGGTATAGGTGTCAATCGGGCGGGTTCGGGCGGGTTCGGGCTGGGTTCAATCGGGTTCGGGTTCAAACGGGTTAGTCGGGTTGCGGGTTCATCGGGTTCGGGTTCATCGGGTTCGGGTTCAAACGGGTTGCGGGTTAGTCGGGTTGCGGGTTCATCGGGTTCGGATTCTATCGGGTTGCGGGCAAATCGGGTTGCGGGTTCACCGGGTTTTGGGTCGGGCGGATTGCGGGCGGGTCGGGTTTCGGGTTGTTCGGGCCAGCGCATCAAGTAACTTAACTCATTACTCATTACCAACTTACACATTTTATTACACTAATTTAAAATATTTTCTCAACTTTTAACCAATTTATTTCTACCTCGTATATATATACTTTATTTTTTTGAAAAAAACTAGTCAAAATGTTAAATCAATTTGTATGACTTGCAAACTTGTTATGTAATTAATCATAATTGGTAAAGTATTATAGCTAATAGTAATGGTGATATCAATATTTCCAACCAAAAGACACCGTTTATTGTGTATTTGATATTTTAGTATTAATTCAGTAGTAATTGGATTAAAGTATCTCGTTTAGTATAACCATGCAAAACTGGTATTTGGCGTGTGGTATTTGGCAAAAGCATAGTGATAAAAGGAGTTATTTCAAAATAACTCATTGCCCAAATAACTTTAGTAAACTGTTGCCAAGCGAGTTATTTGTAAAATTGTTCGAATTATCCTAAAAATTGAACCATTAAAGATTAGCTATCAAATTTAGTAAAATTATTGTGACTTCAATCATAACTTACTCAAAAGCATATATCCTATACACTTAGC